TTGACATTAGGACTTTCTAAGAAGCTGTTTAAAATCTAAACAAGAAATAATTATTATAAATGTAGAATTATGGCAATTGTTGAAATGGGAACATACTATAATATACGAAATGTAAATACGACAATTTTGATATATTTTTCAACTGTGAGACAACTTTTTCAAATAAACATAAAAATAAGAAACTTACCTTAAATTATTTCAAAATGTATCCAATACGGTCCTGTCTAACTTAAATAATGTGCAGAACCTTCGTCAAAAAATGTTGATCACATTCATGCCGTTGAAAGAACCATTCACTAAACTGAAATCTTCAGAGTGTAGTGCTTGAACACGTTGATCGTGAAAGGGATACAATTGATTTTTCCCCACTACTCTTTGATTTACTCTCACACCATCTACAATCACCCACGTACTTGTTGAATCTTCCTTAATAAAATCATAGGCGAATGAATTACAATAACCGGTACCCAATGAATCGTGATTCATAAGAAAAATCGAAAAAAAAAATCACACTCATTATTTAGCGCCTTTTCATACGCAAGTCTAGGCGATTTAGATTTTTTTTTTAAGATGTTTATTTTGACGACTACTATACACAGTTTAAAAAATGTATCACACTGTATAATGTATTCATGTACTGCAAGCTACATATGTAAAGTGGGCTAAAACCGGTACCCAATAAATCGTGATCCATAAGAAAAACAAAAAAAAAATAAAAACGACTCATTATTTAGCGTAACTTTTCATACACAAGTCTAGGCCCGGATTTAGATTTTTTATTTCTATTTTCTTATTTTTGACTTGTTTTTTTTTAAGTAATTTGAAGATGTTTGTTCTTTATTCTAAAAAAGGTCTTCAAGAAAAAACTTCTCGGTCCTCTTTAATGAAATCCCTAAAAAAAAGGTCATCAAGCTAAAACTTCTCGTCCTCTTTAGTACAATCTCTAAAAAAAGTCTTCAAGCTAAAACTTCTCGTCCTCTTTAGTCCTCCATCTTGTGCAACGGTACAAACGTCCTCACACCAGAGCTGTCGGGCCCCCTTATGCCGCTGCCGGGCTCCCACTTGAGCCTGAGCCCCGGGAATTAGAGTTTAAAAAATTTATCACACTGTATAATGTATTCATATACTGCAAGCTAAACATTTAAAATGGGCTAAAACTCTGAATAAAATCGATTTATAAGGGCCAACCCACCATTCCCGTCTTACAGATGGGTTATAAGTAACAAGTTTACACCTGTTTTTCTCGAAAACTATTTGGTTAGTTTTGATGTTGGCTATTATCCATCAAAATTTGTCAAACTTTAACCCTTAATTCATTAAATCGTAAATAATATTTTCTAAATGAAAGATAGAACTTAAAGACAAACTGAGAATATTTTAGACAATAGTAAACACAATAGGCCCTCAATTATCCAATACATAAACTTTTCTAAACTTAAAGAATGTGCAATAGAAAATAAAGAGGATTTAAACCAGAGAAAGATTAAGCAATGCATTGTATGCTTTTTTTTTCTTTAATATAGAACTTAATGTAGTTTCAGTAAATCGTTTAAAAATATTTAAGCCTCTTGACTGATTTTTCATAATAATGGTGCATCTCCATGCCAATCTCTATTATTTCTTAAACTACAATAAATCGGTTGCGTAAAATTTAGCACATACGGCTTGAATGTTATATAATATTTTTCTTTATCTATAAACATTTATTTTAGTTTAAGAAATATTTCTAATTTATTTTTGTCAAACAAATCGGGTAAATGTAGTCCTTATATGCAGTGTTTGTAGATTCGCATTATTTTTAAAATATAAATAAAAAAACGAATTACGATTTAAATCTGCAATTATTGTGTATAAATAACTGAACAAGTCTCTCTTGTAAATAGATTTTTTTTAATTAGGTACAAATGAAATATTTTAAGGTATACTACATTTTGATGTGAATATTCGTGCATTTAGTAAGAAAATAAAAAAATAGTAATTTTTTCTTTGTTTTAATAAAACCTCCATACCTTGGTTTATTATTTTTATAAATGGATATGATATCATGGCCACCATATTAATTTTTTATTTTTCCGAATTAGAACTTGGAGAAATTGATTTTTCAGAAAGATGTCTTTATATTATATAGTTCTGTACCTCAGAACCAGAGTTTGTTAAGTCCAAAAACTTAGGTTTTCAGGAGAGCATTTTTAATATATTCAGTTCCTTTTTGAGATTATGAAACACTGTTTTTACTAAATCTAGTCACTATTTCAAAATTAAATCAGTTTTAAGCATACGAATAGGAACATAATGCCAAATTTTTTTGTGTTTTTGATTTTAGTGACAATATAGTTAAAAAAAAACTCATTTTAGGATTTATCATATACTAGCTGTTGCCCGCTGCTTTTTACGCGTGGAGTTGTGTTTAAAATATCAAAAAATGCATGATTATTATTTTTTATTACTTTAAATGAATTTTTATTATTTGTTTATTAATTTTTTTTATTTACTTTTATTTTTATTCATTTGAATCCATTTTTTTATGTTTATATATTTTTTTAATTTTTACGATACTCCCCATTTCCCTTCCATAAAATGTGAAAATCCAAAAATATTGAAATATGTCATTATTTATTTATTTATGAGTTGCTACAATTTCATTTTTCAAGTTCCTACCTTAAAAAACCGAAATTATCTTACAAAACTTTCACATGCGTATCCCCCTTTCAAATGTAAAAATCCAAAAAACCTGAAACATGTGTATTTATTTATGATGAGTAGATACAATTCCAATTTTCAAGTTCCTACCTTTAAAAAATCTATACCCGATAAAAACTTTAACCTTTTCCTTCTCTTTCCCCGTTTAAAATATGAAAATCCAAAAACCCTAAAACATGTCATTCATTATTTGTGATGAGTAGCTACAATTACAATTTTCAAGTCCCTACCTTTAAAAAAATCGATTCTCCCATACAAACGGCAATGTAAATTTGTTTATTTGTCAATATGCTTTAACTTGAATATTAGTAGGACTTTAAGTCCAAAGAGATGCACTTGACATATATGCAATGGACTTAACATTTGGGTAAATCGGAAGGGAAAATGCTAAATATCATTTTTATGTCACTTTTTTTGATAACACCTACCGTTTTTAAACAACCTTAAAAAACACTTTATTTTCTTGTTTTTCGCTATTTGCCGGGGCCAGAAACACAATTTTTTTTTACATATCGTTTTCAAATACTCTAAAGTAACATATCAAAAATTCCTGTTTCCTCCAAAATTTTGATTGAAAGGTCTATTTGATTGGACAATAATGTCCGGTATTGATACTCTTCATTTAAGAATAGTCTGGAATTGTTCCGTTGTCTTCACTGAAGCTGCCAGAGTGCCTTCGCAAGCTGCATCGAAGGGTTGTGGAGCAAACCACCTAAATAAAACTGGCGCCCGAAGATTCTCCGATAGTAGGGCGTCAAAAGTAAGTATTACTTTCTTTGTATTCTTTGAGGTAAGAAAGCATTTTACAAAACAAGTCGCGCCATGACAGAAGACAACATATTTTATTTCAGTTCAAAGCAGTTCATTTCAATTCGACCAATTCGGTTGCGTTTTTAAGCTATTGCATTGCTTTTATCGCGGGCTTTGAGCGCAGTGACCGAATCAAGAACACTCCCACTCCGACCGGCACAGCGGTGCGGCGTTGAAAGCCGTAGAAGGTTTTTTTATTCGTATTAGTATGAAGCGGAGTTAAATATACGTCTGCGGACTGGAACGTTTATGCAATACAAGAACTAGAAGAGCTTTCTCTGGCTTCTAATAAATTGGTATCACAAATGTTCCCGGCCGGCGTAAATATTAGATATTAATTTTTTTGCAAGATTTATAAAATATAAATTTTTATTTTATCAGTGTTAACTATTTCATTATTAAGCTATTGCATAGACTTTATCGCGGGCTTTGAGCGCGGCGACCGAATCAAGAAATTCCGTAACGAAAATAAACCTAACTCCCTCGAAAAATCGAAAAGGAAATTCCGTAACGAAAATAAACCTAACACCCCCCACTCCGACCGGCACAGCGCGGTGCGGCGTTGAAAGCCGCGCATCGTCTAACGTCGTTTCAGTTCGGCAGACTTCGGCATGGTGTTTGTGTGCATGCGACTAGACGTATGCGTGTAGACTAGCTGCTAACTGCTCATCACTGATTCTATCTCTTTTAGACACAATTTCGGAAAAATTGAATTTGAAAATGAATAATAATCCACAAGAATCCACAACAAAATATGGGACCACCATTGACGCGGTATTTTCCAGATATTTAGAGGATATCAAGTCTCAAACTTATGTTTCTTATTTAAGTTACCATAAACCTAGTTTCAATGATAAAAAATCCTGAATAACCTACATGTATTGTAAGATAATAAAAATATTTTAAACAATATTAACTTCTCATTTATTCAATAAAAGAAAAAAAATTGTTTTCTTATCGGTTACCACGCTCAAAAAGTGTAACTTGAATTAATATCAAAGAAAAACTTAATTAATATCAAAGAAAAAAATACTGCATAAATAAAATAAATAAATAATTATAATTGCATAAGTTGATAAAAAATGCCATGCAATAGCTTTACCGCGGCAGTCCCCGAGTGCCACAAGTATTTTTTTTTATAAAGTGTTTCCGTTCAAATTTCTGTTATGGTTTGAAGAAAATAAGCGGTTACGGTTTGGTTCATAGCCCTAAGGATACCACTATACCAGAGTATCTATTCTTGAATCTCAGAGATTAAAAATTTCGAGAGAAAAATGAGACAGAAATACAAATTTTGTACGTTGCAGATAAAGAGGAAAAACCTATTTTCTAATATCCCTAAATTTAATAAAAGCTACCAGGACATTCTTCTGACTTAAAAGTCTGAATAATCTATTATTCTTAGTTAGAAGTCAGAACAATCTATTTTTCTGAGTTACAAGTAAAAAAATTGATTGAGATCTATGTCGCAAAAATAAAAAAAATATAAATTTGAGAAAATCAAAAATATAATTTTTATTTACAATTTATTTGAAAAAATTACAAAATTGTTCCTGTTATACTACTATGAAAGATGTCTCCAAACGTTTTTTCGTTTTTAACGTTGCTCATCGAGTTTGGAATAAATTTTTTTATACTAGTTACAAACGGTGGTTTTTCCAATTTGGCTTCTATTTTAACGTTTCCTCTGTCATCGATACTTTTCCAAATTATATGAACAGTACCTACAAAAATAAAGAATCGAACTTTTTTTATGGTAAGTATATAAGAGTAATTGAAGGGATTAGAATACAAAGGTTATAAGTATTAATTAAACTAGTTCGATTATATTTGGTTTAAACTTAACTAGCCACAATAAAATAGGCAAATAAGTTAAGTTTGTAGTTTTTGTCGGAAAGGTTTGTTCAGGGAATGCTACTTATAAGGATTGTAAGAAAGTTGGAAACTGAAAATTATTTCACAAAAAAAAGTGGGAAAATGTATTTGTACCCTTTGTACCTCGACATATTTCAGAATAAATTAAACCATAGGTTATTTGACACAATGACAAATATTTTACTACATATTTTTATAATCAGAGTCAATAATTATGGTACTATCATCTATATCGCAGTCTGATTCTGTTTCCTGCGCAACCCTAGAAGTTAAAGCATTATTGGGGCTCTCAGAATGTGAGTTTTATTCAGGTTTTTTTTTTTCTAAATCAATAGTATTGGTTCCCTTACAGAGTTTGATTTTTGCTAAAAATTTCAAGTTTGGGTTTTTTTAATATTTCAACCTCCCTTAACTCCCTATTTTTATTCATATTTTTTTTCAGAGTCAATAGGCTTCATTTGCTAATAGAGCTTGATTTTACTAAAAATGTTTTGCTGAATCGTTTTTCGTTTTAGATTTGAGTTTTTTTTTTAATTTCAACCCCCATTTTCACAGGCTCTGTCCCTTATGGAGCCTGATTTTCCTGAAAATTTCAAATTGATATCATTTTTCGTTTTTGATGTTTTTTTTTTTTTAATTTTGGTACAAAAATTTGGATCAGTATTAAAAATTTTGGTTTCCCGAAAAGAAACCTATATATCTTCATAGACTACTTTATGAAGAACATAATAAATATGCACAAAACACATAATACATAGTAGAATACAACGGGTACATGTAAATGTATATCCTTTTTTTATGTACACAACAAATTGCGTTTAGAGTTAAAAAATGCATTTGGATCCTTTATACCCTAACACATATTTATATCTAGTTTTCGCAATTGGTTGCATCTAACTTTAACTGAAAAAGGTACTTGTACCCTTGTATTCTATCAATTGTACTATTTCAGAATCCCTATAGTCTGAATAAAAGATGAGTGCAGTAAAAGTGGGGATATAACTTCACATTCATAGGCGTACTTTGCAAAATAAGTTTCTATAATATAAATAAGATCACGGCATATTAAATGGTATATACGCACTTCGTAGATTAAATTTTGAATGAAAAATGTTATATTTACAAAAAATAAAAATAAACCTTATGCTTCTGACAAAATTATTGTACTTTAACATTGAACGAATTAAATTTAACCAATAAATTACAAGGATTATATGTTGTTATGCATTAAAAGTAATTCTTCAGAACCTAAAATCAAAGATTAAAAAAAGACTTCAAGAACTATCTTTAAAAGTCACTGTCTTCACTATAACTACTGGTATCATTATCATTGTCTATTCTGAGGTTTATTATTATAGGGGCTATTAAGTTTTCTATTGCTATATCCACTTTCCACAATGAATTTTCCACCTTATTAACTCCGCGTAGTAAGGAGGCAATCGGAGAAATTCAATTCCTTTTTCTCGGGCCATCCTGTCTATAATATATTGTTTAAATTTGTTTTTATATTGCCATGTTATTACGAGTAATTCTGCCTTCAAGGATTTAGGAGGACTGATAATATTTTTACAATGAAGCCATTTTGTAATATCTTCTTTTTTTCATCTTGTTGTAGGTAGTGACTTCTTTAATCGAATGTGATAGGATGCATTAACCAAAACAATACCGGAGTTGTCTGGAATTTTTTTATAATATTCTGAAACCAATTTTCAAACATAGGGCCATCCATTTCTTCATGATAGTCTTTTGTTTTCGTTGACTCAAACATTAATAAATCATCTGGCAAAAATCCATCGGTGGGTTATTATTAAACAATTTCCTTTTCGTGTTGGATTTTTAAATCCACAAGAGACCCCTTCTATAAAGGCTTGTTTTTTAGTTTTGATGGAGGTATCTTGCCAAATTTTTGTTACTGTATGTCCAGCATTAACCCATGTTTCATCTAAATAAAATACCTGTTTATGCTGATTCCTTGCGTCTGCTATTTTATTTAAATAATCATGTCTCCATGCTTTCGTCTTTCTATGTTAAAAAGTTGTATCTGTCACGTTTCTTGTAACGAAAATTTAATTCATTCATTTTTGCATATGAAAATATAATATATTTGGGGCTATTTTCTATTTCTAAGTTTAATTTTATAAGTGTAGGAATTTCATTTCGAAAGAAAAAAGAATGTACCATTTGCCTTATTACATTATTTACCCAAGTTTCAATTCAGGTCTTGTTTCTTCCTGGGAGCTTTTTCGGACATGAGACTTTTCCAATAACTGTATCATCTTTAATAATGTTATACACTATACGCTTAGATACTCCAGTATAGGTCTCACATTTAGTGGTTATTTCATTCACAGAAAATGAAACAATAATTTACGTTACAAGACCGGAAAACAGTGTTTTGCAGATCTAGACAAGCAGATTCCAGTTTGGAAAAACCAGCTTAACACTAATTTACGGTCGCGCGACATACAATATTTTTTTAAGACCGACACTTCGATGTAAACTCAATTATTTTTTTATTAGACCAATCAGATGTATTAAAATTTTTATTTTAACTACAAATAAGTATTGAGGTATGAATAAAATGTCTACCTCTTGAACATGTACGACGTTCTGCAAATTAAATAACTGCACTCGTTTCGTCTGTAGACTATATATTATCTTATTTTTTTATATGTAAGAAATTATTTAAAAATTACCTGCAACTGATGATGCATTTATAGTCCACAGAAGCACTGAATATACTGGAATAATATTGATTAGATTTCTCAGACTTTGGAGGCAGCCATAAATAAATAACGTGATTAAACGAAACTACAACAAAACAAAGAAATAATTTTTATAACAAAATACACAAATACTGAGTATAATCCTAAACTATTCATTTCTTGGCAGTAATTTTCGGTTGAAAATACACAATCTAGGAGATTTTTAAAACATAAATTCTGGCTATCTAACTTTGAGATTTCACCAGTGGTGCAAATGCTGCAGAACTGCCAAAAAATTAAAGAATCTCATCTACATGTCACATAAATTATTCTAGGCATTCTAAAATATACGTAATATACATTTTATGGATAATCTCATTCATTTAAATTTAATTTTAATTATTATAAAGTGTGTGTGCACTGCACCGCTTGAGCCGCCCGCGGTCATCGTCTCCTTTAGTTGTTCTAGTAGTCTTGATAGGCATATGACTGTCAAAAAGATTGATTAACAAGTTTGCGAACAGCGAAACTTTCTTGTCAACAGTATTTTAATAAAAAATTATAAAAAGGTGTATTGAAAAATTTTAATGTATAGAATTGTTCAATACACTTTCGCACAATCGAATTTTTAGATCAAGAAAAGTTGAAGTGTTAGACCATCCTACGTACAGTGCCGAATTAAGTCCCAACTATTTTTTTACCTTTACGAAAATCAATAACAGATTAATAAAAGTAATATAATATATAATAAAATAATATAATGTTTATTCTGAAAAAGTGTTATACATTTACTTCTAATAATATTAACTCTAATTTGGTTTCTTTTTTAGAATAAACGGAGAGGCCTATTTATGTCCTAAGGGATATGCATGGGCACCGTTTAAAATACACACCAAGATTACAATATAGATATACAAAAACAATAAAACAAAACACTTTAACATTACAATAGATTAATCATAAAAAAACAGTTTATTAGCATAAAAGCAATAAATTACTTAAAGATATATAAATTAGACAAGGATGATAATACTATAGAAAAATTAAACAATAATAAGGCTTCAAAAAGCTGTGAATCCTATTATACTAAGTACTTGTACTATCTCATTTAAACCACACATTTGGCTTATAAAATTTTAATCAAAAATTGCATTAATAGAGTTCCTCTCCGCATCTATTAATTATTTTCTTAAAAAGATCCATTAAATTAATTATTATCAAATAAGTCATATCAGGAAGAAAGTTGTAAAATTTACTCAATAGAAAGTTAAAATGTCTGACCTTTGGATTTGTTTGCAAGGTAAGTTTTTACATTTTCTTTTTGATTATCAGATTCATTATTTAGAATTTAAAAGAACTACTGCTTGAAAAGCTTACTATAACCTACAGGAGTTCTACAGGGTGTAACAGAAAGGTAAGGTCATAAATGGAACCACATATTCTGGTGTCAAAAATAACTCGATTTAACATAACTTACCTTAATGTAAATGTGCGTATAAAAAAAGTTACAGCCCTTGGATAGTACAAAATGACAATCGATTTTTTCCAGTATTTCATGAACTGTTTAACATTTTGTAATGAAAATGGATACATGGCTTTATTATCGTAAGAACATCTTTTTCACATAAAACCACGAAATCTGTACAGCCCATAAAAATTTTAGGGGAGTTTTGAACTCCTAAAACCTCCTAAACTTTTCTATGCGTTACAATTAAATTAGTATTGTGACACCATTGGTTTAATATATCATTTTTTAATTTTTTTTTGCCTCTTAGCACTTTTTCGAAAAGCCTGTTTTTATCGAGATGCGGCCCCTTTTTCATTATCCTTCAAAAATTTGGCTGTTCAACAGTTTCTACGGATAAATAACAAAAAGTTGCTTTAAATATTACATACTGTCAATTGAAGCTTTCGATTATTGTGCATGTTAAGAGTGTTAAGAAAAATTAAACTTTCTATTACAATGGTTTACACGTTTAATTTAATTCTGGGTAAGTTTGGTAAGACTAAAACAAGGTTTCAGATAATTATCTGTAATTCTGATAATCTCAGGTGAATGCCAAGGGAATAATGCAGCAGCTGCAAGGCTTTATGCGGAAAAATATCCCAATCGGAATACACCAGACAGACGATTATTTCTTTCCCTTGGTCATCGTTTACGGGATACGGGTAGTTTACGACCGCAATTTGCTGGTAATAGTGGTCGTCCAAAAATGGATACAAACGATGAGGGGATTTTGGAATTAATCGAAGAAAGCCCTGGAGGCAGTACAGGGGTAATAGCTACTCAATTAGATGTTGGTCACATGATGGTTTGGAGAAGATTGAAGGAAAAGCATCTTCATCCCTATCACTTAACAACCGTTCAAGAATTACTAGATGAATATTATCCTAAAAGAATATATGTCTCTTTATTATTGCTATTTGGTACCTTAGGTATAGGAATAATGGTGGCTAATTTCATTTCAATGGGGCCCTTCCTTGTTCTATAGAACTGGTAATTAAATTTACTAAAATATCACAAATAAGATCAAAACAGTCTTTTAAAAGCTCAACATTAATGTCATCAGGACTACCTGTATTGTTTAATGAATTTACAGTCTCTTTCAGTTCTTCAATTGCGATAAAATTAAAATTCGTTAATTTGTTATTTGTAATTTTCTCAATTATTGGATACTCTGTGGAAAAAGTTTTATCAATTTGATCCGTAATTCGTTAATACTTTTAATATAAAATAAATTTAAGCAGTTAGGCATTAAATTAATGTTAGATATTTCTTCTCCATCTCCCATATCAATTGAATTAAAATTATTTACTAGAGAGTTATCTGGGACAAAGAATCGAATTTTGCGACTGGGTTTTAACGGAAAAAATCGAAATTTCAATTTCATTAATCATATTTTGTTAACCGATGGAGCTACCTTTAACAGAAATGGCATTACGAATTACCATAACGAACACAAATGGGCCGAAGAAAATCCTCACGCAAAAAAGTGACCCATCACCAAAGGACTTTTAAAGTTAATGTTTGGGCAGACATTGTAAATAATAATAGGGGCAGTATTTCTTCTAAATAATTTAAATGGTGCAGTTCTTACAAAATGATTTACCAGAGTACTTGGAAGAGGTAAATTTAGGAATAGGGCAAAAAATGTGGTATTTACAAGATGGAGCTCCAGCGCATTTCGATATCGAAGTTAGGGAATATCTTTTCGATCTGTACCCTGGACGTTGGATTGGTGCACCTATTTCTTGGCCAGCCGGAAGTCCAGATCTTAACCCTATTGACTTTTGCTTCTGGGGTTTTATGAAAGTGCAAATCGATTTGGTCAGAAACTTTCAAAAAATTCGGTTTTCCTTTTAAAAAGATTCCGAATATGTATTCAGGAAAATGGAGGCAATTTTGAACATTTATTATAGTAAATACTACACATTTGTACATATTTTTTATACCTGCGAATAAAATGAATTCTCAGTCATAAATAACTTTTTGTTACTCAATATTTTTGATAGATAATGAAACAGAGGCCGCATCTCGATAAAAACTGGCTTTTCGAAAAAGTGCTAGGAGGCAAAAAAATTTAAAAAATGATATATAAAACCAATGGTGTCACAATACTAATTTAATTGTAACGCATAGAAAAGTTTGGGGTGTTTTAGGGGTTCAAACCCCCCTAAATGTTTTATGGGTTGTACAGATTTCGTAGTTTTATATGAAAAAGATGCTCTTACAATAAAAAACCCATATGTCCATTTTCATTACATTTCATGAAATATTGGAAAAAAATCGATTTTCATTTTGTACTTTCCAAGGGCTGTAACTTGTTTGTGTGCACATTTGCATTAAGGTAAGTTATGTTCAATCAAGTTATTTTTGAGCCCAGAATATGATCTAGTTTTGTTATACCCTCTATAATCACAGTTTTGACTGCTACTTAATAAAGTTTCATTGTATTATTTATTATAGTGTACCTTTTACTCTTTTGTATTGTGTTTTTTAACATTATGATGTGCCCAATATTGCATGTTTTTAATATTAATTTTAATTCTTTTTACTTTTTACTCTAGATTTATTTATAGATACTTATTTATATTGTAATGCTTTGTCGATAGAATTGTTTTCCTCTGACAATAAAGTATATTTCAGCACCTCAGAGGTAAGGTGTGTCAATTCAGAGAAAAGTTTTCTCCAGGTGTGGATTATTTACCGTACTAAATTCTATCTAGTGGAAAACAGATTTAACTCCCTAGTTGCATCATTTCTCCAAAAGATGACGGAACACTCGGCAAATCACAAACCAAGTGTTGTAAATTTGAGGTTAATAATTTTAAGTCACATCAAAGTCAAAATTTTAGGACATAGTAAAAAATCTAACAAAAAAATCGAAATAAATTGACCAAACAATTGACTTTTGCAAAGACCCCAATATTTATTAAATTTACGGGTTCTTTACATTGTACTTTAAAATTCCTTTCCTGACAAATGTAGATTTGGTAACTTAACATACCTTGCCTCTGATTTTGATTGATTAATTGACTGAACTGTTGCTCAAAGATTCCAGTCACCAGAAGAAGCAGTCGACGTTTTTAAAAACGCACCAACAAAGGAGTAGTATAATTTATTCCGGAGTTCGTTCAAGTGAATGTAACAGTGCATTAAGTTTCCTTTAAAATCTATCTACTGTTTTATTCCAAAACTAAAGTAAATGTGAATGTGAATAGACGTGTTTCAATTGCTCTTAGTTTTTCCATCGATTTTTACTTGGTTTAAGTTTGTTATTTTTAGTGTTCTTAATATCAAATTGAAGCAGTTTTCATAGGCCACATTTTTGCACATATTTAACTATTAACAACTGTGTATTTTACTATTAGTAAAATTGTTTGGATTCATAAACATTTTTTTTTTCCTATTTTTATCTACATATAAACTGATAGCTGAAACAAGATTCCGATAGAAACCTTTTTAACTATCTGTGTCCAGTGGCAGGACAATTTAATTTTGGACAGTTTCTTTTGTTCTAAATATTTTTGTTGAAATGTATCATGGCTTGTTGTAAGTGTAAACAGCCACTTAGTAAGGATGATGCGGTGTTGATGTGTGATAGCTGTAATCGAGTCTTCCATAGAGAATGTATCTCAATGCTTCTGAGCTAAAGGTCATGGTTTAAAGGGTAAAAGACTTCTTTGATTTTACTACGAGGACTGTCAGCCTGGATTAAGGCTGATTCCGTCTCTGATTCATGACAAATTGGAAATGGAATTAAAGTCTCTCGTTGATAAACCTCATGGAGCCGGAGTACCTGAAGAAAATATCATCAACGAACTGAGCGATTGTCAAAAAAGTAATGTCATGATTTATAATCTTCCGGAAAATAATAATCCACACAAAAGTGATAATAATAAGTCAAGAATATATTAAAAGATGTTACAATTTGAAATCAAATTATGGAAATTATTGGAGTCACGAGATTGGGAAGAAATAACGGCAATGGAGCCCAACCTTTGAAATTAACTTTTAGGAATTCGGAAGAAGCTATGATAGTGATTAGAAATAAGAAGAAAATCAACAAAAATAGAAAGATCTACACTGATTTGGATAGGACTCTTTTACGGAGAGATAACATGAAAAAACTGAAGGATGAACTAAAAATTAGGAAAGATAAAGGAGAAAATGTTTCAATTAAATATGTTGATAATACTCCAAGGATTGTTACAAGCTCCAGCAATTTAAAACTAAACAAGCCCAACAGTCCACAGTTAGCATGTATATACCAGAACGTCAGTGGTCTTAATACAACAGTTGATGAATTTTAGTCATATGTATGTGATAACTGAGTGCGACATTATAGCTATAACTGAAACCTGAATTCAGCCAGCAGTTAAAGACTCAGAACTTTTCTCGGAGGAGTATCAAGTATTTAGAAACGATCGTGATCTTAACAGAACTGGCTTATCTACTGGTGGGGGAGTCTTATTGACTTAAAAAAAAAACATCTCATGTGTTAAAATTGATACATCCTTCTTTGATCAAAATTTAGTAAATATTGATTTAATCATTTGTAAATGTCTGCTTGGACATTTATATCAATTTTGGTATATGTTCCACCATCTGTTTCATTAGATATGTTAGAGTCATTTTTTGAATGTTTAAAAGGGCTTGAAATATTGCATAATGATTTTTTTTTATTTATAGATGATTTTAATATTGCTGAGTACGTCAACCTTAATATTCATAATAGAGGATATAGTGTTTGTTATTAACAATTTGGCAAACTTTTAAGATTTAGTACAATTAAATACCGTTAAAAACGAGACAGGTCGCTTGCTGGATTTTATTTTTTCTTATATGGATTGAGATGTAACTCATAATCTATCTTTTATAGTCAGTGAGGATTTATATCATCCTTCTTTGTATATACAAGTTAATAGTGTTTTTAATGTTCCCAATGTGTCTGAACCGAATTCAAAACAAAAGGCTTATTATTTCAAGTGTGCTAATTACCCTTTACTATATGAAGCTCTTATGAATATTGACTGGGATTATTTATTGCTATACAAAGATGTAAATGAGACTTTAGATCAGTTTTATATTACTTTCTACTCAATTTTGACCGTTTTGTTCATATAAGAATTACAAACATATATTCCCTCCACGGTTCGATTCCGTTATTACGCTCATCAATCTTACATTAGTATAAAGTCCAAGGTAATATAACAACTGATTCTCGCTGGTTCTGGTTATATATTAATGCAAAAAATAAAAGTTTACTTATTTTGGGCACTATGTTGTTTGAAGATGAATTATTTGCCAATCCTCAAGAAATAATAAATAAGTTTAGTGTTTGTAACATCCTCGGAGCCAAAGCAGGATAGGGCTAGCTTATTTGAATCACAATTTTATGGTGACACCATTTATGGTGACAATATTAGTGAATTCGACGTCATACAAGCCAGTCAAAAATCAAGCAATAAAATGACCTCTGGCTCTGACGATATACCATCATTTTTGGTTAAAGAATGTATTTATATATTAGCTTATCCATTAAACATATATTTAATTTAGCATTAAAGTCAGAAATATTCCCGGAGAACTGGAAAGAGGCAAAAATTATTCCTGTTTTTTAATAAGGTGATAAGACACAAATCAAAAAATATTGTCATGTATCTATTCTGTCTAATTTCTCCAAAATGTAATTATCAACAGCCTTCTCCATTGTTTTTAATACAAAAGATGTGAGGCCCATTGTTCGGAAGAATTTAGTATGCATGGTATCCTTTTTCCCTACTTTTGGAATAGAGGTGGCGTTGGCCCTTCTCCATGATTCTGGTATATATCTCAGCTCCAGACTGCTCCGGGATATCCGGCTTATATGTGGTAGTAATTCCTCCTGAGCTCACTGAAGCAGGGCAGGAAATATTTCATCCACACCTGGATACTTCAGTTCAAAAGTGGGCCACTATAACCGATTGCTGCTACAAATGTGTTTATTCATTGCAACAGCTCCTCTTGAGGGCCAGCTACCTTACTTGAGTCCATTATTAAAAAATATGTGCTCCCAGGAAAATCAATTCTGAGTAAGAAGAGAGCTCTTCCCAGACAACACACCAAATCCCAGAGATATCCACAGAATATATTTTGTGGATATCCAATATATCCACAGGATATCAGAAATATTCCGTGGAACTAATATAGATATCCAAATGTCCGTCTATATCCAGAATATAGAAGATATCCTATGGATATTCAGCAAACTATCTAATGAGTATCTCCAGACAATACAAGAAATCCCAGATATATCCATAGAATATATTTTGTGGATATCCAACCAAATGTCCGTCTATATCCCAGGATATAGAAATTCAGATAAATATTTTATAATTATTTTTAGTAGAGGTTCATAAGTAACCAATGGTTATTGAATAACGTCGAAAGAAAATAGAGGTAAAAAATATTCCCAACAATCTGCCTTTGATTTTGCCTACTAAGGAAAAAATCATCCTTATTAGGAATCTTCAGCAATAAATGGAACTTCTCAACTTCAGTCTCTAATGAAGTCTGTTTGAGAAACAATGTCGATCAAACTCAATTACGGCGGGTTAAGCATGAGTAGATACGAAAGTGGTATCGCCATCTATACTTAGGAAGCAAAATCAAAAATTACATCTAGTAGATATCCACGATGGTTTGCGTCCGCGCTTAGACTTTGATATATTTATATTAATAGTGGATGTCCATGGGATATTGAATACACCTTGAAAAAAATTAATTTTAAATATCTCAACGGTACTATTAGCCACAATGGCGAGTACAATGGCGTAATTTTTTAATAATTTGCTATATAATTACAATTATTTATGGACATTTGCATGTCTATAAATTACATTTCATGGATATAAAATAGATATCCACATGGACTGGACATTCAGTGGATATTGGGATGTTCAGTAGATATCCAAAGGATTTGGTGTGCTGTCTGGGTTTGCTCCTCACTCTCCGTGAAGCTTCCTCTCCCTTTTGCCAGAGCCTTGTGTAATCTTCCTGCCGGAGGTGTAGAATTAATCTCCTCGCAAAATTTCCTAAAGCTGTTACTTTAGCTTTCCTGATTTCTATGTTGTAGGTGATAAGTGCATTAGTGTAGCTCTGCCAATCTCTACTGTGCTTTGTCCTGTTATAAAGTTTCCACACTTCGGACCTTAAGTTTGACAGATGACTGTTTCACCAAGGAACGTCCCTACTAGTTCTATTTGGTTGAATGGGACAGCTTGATTCATATGCCTAAAATATTGCCTCATTCCGTTTTTTTAGATCGCTTTTCAGAGCTAGTGGGTGTCTGGGCACCTGTTTAGTCTGGATACGTGCTAAATTTTGTTTAGAGTGCTGTTGTATTTGTTCCAGTCTGTTTTTATAGGATTCCTCCTAAGGATCGTCTCAGGCATGTCGCTCTCTAACTTAAACACAATTATCTTGTGATCAGATAGAGCTGGTTCATTCGATACTCTCCAGCTTATAACTAGATCTTTATTGCTCGCTGTACTTAATATCACTTCTTGCCCTTGTTACAAATGTTGGAGTATTCCCAATAAGGTTCTTATTACAAATATATTCCAGAAGTTGCTCACCTCTTTGATTGGTGTTATTGCTTCCCCATATGGTACTGTGTGCATTGGCATCTCATCCAAAAAGTAATGATACGATTTCTTCTGGCAGTACTCCACTAACCTCAATACTTCCGGGGGTGGTACAGGCACATCCCCTGAGAAGTAACTAGAAGCTATTACTATGACTTGCCGCCTGTATTAAAGGATAATGTAGTGTAGAATAATTTGTCAATATACCTATCACCATTCATTTTGTTTACCATTATGAATTTATATGAATCATGACATTATGTAGGCTTAAGGAATCTAATAATGTATTTTCTTTCTGGTACACAATCGATTTATTATTATTAAATCAAGAGGTTAACTGACCTATCCAGATAACATCAGAACGATAATGAGGAAATCATCTTACTGAGATCAGAATTTGAAAAGATCTTGAAGAGAATCAAGTATTTATAGCTAGAAGTTTTGGTTTCTATCAAGACAGAAACATACCAAGAAAAATTTGAAATACTTACCACGGTGAACACCACATAGTACATAGTAGTTGTTGGTAATAAAAATAATAATATCGTGAATGACAATGTTCCAATAAACAGCTGATTTTGAGAATACTGGCATGAATCCACTCTACTTCTTAATGGATTAAATTTTCTACCTATTGACACTCTCCACAGAGATTTTAAGCATTTCAATTGGAGATTAAATAGTCTGAAAAATTAATTGTATTAAAAACGAAGATTTACTAGATAAAAACTATTTACCTTGCTGCATAAATATATATACAATAAGAATGGAATGTAGCAATGGACACAATATCTGAGATCATTGCTATTTGATAGGAAACTCCAAAAATTCCTGGCAACACAAACCATTTAAAATGACTGGTAAATAAAGGATATAATCCATGCAGAAAAATTCTCCATAAGGATATGTGATATAAAAAAAATCTTCCTAAGAAATTGTTAAACCCATAATTTAACTTCAGCCCAATTGGTTGTCCCATTAAATACAGCAAAAGACCTCTAAGATTTGATATGATAGACTGGAACAAATGTAACAGAAATCTATATATTTTAACCCTTTTGTTGCGACAAGTTAACATATGTGGCTTGGCGAAGTTGAGCTATAATAGGACAGCACGCATGTGCTGCAGTATACTGGTCTCGTTTGAGTAACGGAGTTACGGTAAGTCTACAAAATTTTGTCTGAGTATAGCCAGATATGTGTCCTATAATTAGGCAACCTTCCTCTCTGGGATGGCGTCAGGTTCTAGGTACTTTACCAAATTGAAAATAAAGGGTTTCTTATATAGATATAATTTCGTTATTGATCGTTTTGTGTTGTGTTGGATAATTATTATGTAATGGCAGATTTAAGTGAAGCAATGCCTTCTAGTGTAAAAAGGCGTAAAACTATGCTTTTAAAAAATCTAAAAAAGTTATCAGTTGAAGAAATGATGTAATTTTTATGATTCAGATAAAGAAAGTTTACAAAATGAGAATACGAAAAATAATACAAACAACTCATTTTATTCCATTATTAAAAAAAATATGTGGACGCACATGAGCGTTTCACAAAAAATACTGATAAAAACAACAAATACAATTAAGTTAGACACATCTATACGATACACAAAAACATTTTTTTTTAATACAATATTGTGTCGCACGTGCCGTAGTCTATTCGTAGTATTGCCGCAGCGAAAGGGTTAAAGATGTACTCACTTGTCGATACCCAAAAATGGGATCATTTTTAGTTTTATTTTCTATGGCTAATAGTTCACAGATATTTTTTAATTATCTTAATACACATTTTAATAACTAATAATTTGTGATTTTATTTTAAATATTGTATTAATATAAAAATTGTAATTGACTGCCTTAAATTGGGCAGTCAAACAACTCCAATAATTATGTGTTTCATAGAATAAAAAAAAATTAATTAAAAAAAAAACATTTTTCTAGAAGGGCGAGGAAGCTTCCACCTTTCCAAAAGCATTTCCGTATAGAAAGATGCACTTTTCAACACTAGTTCAAAAAAGCAATTTACTTTCCTGCACTAGTACGCTAACCTCCCTATGTGAAATCAGCATCTGCTATTAATTTACAGAATGCTCGGAACTGCACATTTAATATAAATATAATTAATAAATAATAGTATATACATTATGATACAGAGCTTATTTTTTCGTCTTAGGTATCCGACTAGTATACAAGTTAATAAAATGATAACAGGGCAACAGTGAGTCATCGACAAGAATTAAAAGATATGGTGGTGGGATATTAGCCGAACTGAGATCATAGCGATAGCGGGGATATCGCAGTTGCCATATGTTCTCTGTAAAAGCATTGTTATGCCTAATACAAAATAATAAGTACTGTATAATAGTTATTTGTGTACCAAGGCTGTAAAGTTGATCTTTTTAGGCCGAATCAGAAATTTGCAACTTCTGGTTAGGCCTTAAAGGATCATACAGCTGAGGTGACACATTTTTAGGCTACTGTCTCATCAAGTAGAGACAATATTTTTTACATTCATGTTTTTGAAAAGAGGCTTAAATGAAAAAATTGTTTCAAATTTTTATTGATAGAATAAAAATCCATTGTTAACTAATAAAATTTGTACAGAATTACTTACGATAAGTATGATAAACCTGTGGTTATAAAAAGCGGCCGCAAAGTAAATGCGGTCGAAAAAGCAACACTTTAGGGATGTTAATAAATCCCTAAAATGTAATTTTTTTATGACAGTCGCCTAAAAATATTTTTTGTTCGTTATTTGATTAGAATAAATATGTTAGTTACTTTTTTCTTACACTCCTTTAAAAATGTTGTTCCTAAGTGTCTGCAAGAAATAGTCACTTTCTACACTTGTAAACAAAATAACTATTGTATATTTAGAATTTTAAATATAATATGGAAAACCAACTTTTTGGGGCTTAAAGTAAATATTCCTCAAATACAATGCTTTTTGACCTAAACCAGAATTATTTTTCTCATTGGTTCATTAATTTAATGTTTCTATGCAATAAGTTAAAAACTTGTATATTTTTGTATAATTATCGTCGAGTTAAAAAAGTAATTACGAGTTGGAGGTTGAAATATAACAGGGACAGAAGTTGGAAAGGCTTTTCACAGCTCTCCCACTTCATGCACATAAATTGACAGTTTTGCGGTGGAGCTAAACGAAGTAGACGCAATACATTGGCGTACAAAATTATTTTATAGATGTTAATAACAATTTCGGGTAAATAATTTAATAAATTGCGAATAGCTGTTGAAATTTTGTAGAATTATGATTTGGGATATTTTAATACTTGCTTAATAATTATTTCTAGTCCATAAATACATGCGATTGTCCGGTTCTGCTGGTAACAATTTAAAGTTACTTATTCTATGAATAGAAAAGACTTTATTCACAAGTATACATAAAAGATAATGACGTTATATAAAAATAAAATGGTTACAATATGGAATATACAATAAAATACTAAAAACTTCTAATACATTAACTTGAAAACAAATAATAAATTAACTTAAAACAAACACATTAATTTATTTTAGTGACACATAAGTGGCAGTAAATAAAAACGGAAAACAAATAACAACAAACAAAATTAAAATGCATTGATTTTGTTGCGGGCTAGTAAAGCACTATAAATGGTTCAAAACTAATTTAGTTCCAAGAAATCTCTTACTTTGTAAGGTTCTAAGGGTTTTTTAGGTTATCTTCCTGTTTAATATTATTTAGCAACTTATTAAAAACTGGATGCACACGTATTCAGACTGCTTTTCAGTTGATGAAAGTCTATGAGTTGGCACATTGTAGTTTATGATATGATTTCTGGTATTTAAATTATGCTATTCCAACTTCTGCACCTTCTGTACAAGTATTTTGTTGGTTGATTTTATCAAGAACTAAGGGGCCTATTCAGTAACTCTGAACGACGTCGTTAATAGACGATAATCGTTCACAGACGACTTTTCTTATTCAGTAGATAACGATTGTCGTTGAAAATAGACAAATATGGTTGTAAAATTGTCGTTCATCAACGATAGCCACAGAGCTGTCGTTAATAATATGAAATGTCGTTATAGTGATTTTTGCATTCCCTCTCATTTTTCATTGTGAATCAGGATGTGTTCTAAATAATAAAAGCACTTTTTTACAAACTTTACAACTAAATTGCCATCTACCTAATGCAGCAAGTAAAATTTGTAAGGAATTTTTTTCAAATTTATTTAATTATTTTAAAAATAAATTTGATTCAAAGTTAGGATTGCCCATTCGACCATTTACTATTGGATTCTTATTAACAGTGCTGTTCCCCCCACTCGACCATTCACTGTTGGGTACTAATTAACAGTACTGTTCCTAAAGTGGCGCTGGGAAACAGTAACAAAGCCTACACAGAACACGAGGCTAAAATAACCATAGCAGTTGATGCCGATGACACAAAAAATGCCAGTGCTGTTCCTAAAGTAGCACTGCGAAACAGTAGCAAAACCTATATTATGGAAGTACCTATTATACCTAATAATACTTCTCCGTAACCTACACAGAAAACGAGGCTAATGGCCTGAGTTGTCGAAGCCGATGACATCAACAGAAAAGATAATCGGGAAAAAAGGATTGATAGTATCAAATTTGGTTTGTCTTTCAAATCCAATCACTACAACTTGTACTGTTCTTGAGTTGTTTTTTGGTATTCTTTTGGAATAGTTCTCAGTTTTTTTTAATATATCCCTACTCATTTAAATAAACCCTACATACAATACGACCAGCAAAAATGGGCGCGAGAAACAGAATTCCTACGAATCGAGAATCGACCACCTAATCGTGTTGTAGGTTAAGAACAATAATTAATATATTATGAAAAACAAATGAATATATCTACTGGTAGAATTCATATTTTATGTTCCAAAAAAATGTCAAATATACCGGGTGTTCAAATTAAAATGTTACAGTTAAATACCGCCTTTTATAAAAAAACCAAAGTTTTATAGTTTTTTGGGGAAAACATTTTGGCTAAAATCATTTTTTTATAGCTAACCATAATATGGCTAGCTTTTTTTTCGCGCAGCAAAATTTTCAAGTAGGTGTTACTCAATAAGTAGAAGTCTAATAAAAAAATGTTTCGTTTAGAAGTTTCTTATTTTTTTATGAACTCTAAGAATACCTATGTAAAAAATAGGGTTCCAATTTGAAAAAAAAATTCATTTAGCCAAACTGTTTCCCCTAAAAAACTATAAAACTTTTGTCTGATACTTTTTTGTATAAAATGCATATTTTCGGCGATATTTAACTAACACTTTAATTTAAACACCCGGTATAATCATCAACATACGTTCTTTTATCACAAAACACTAAATTATAATACCAACTTGCTAGAAATCATCGTTCAGATTTGGTAACTAAAAACAACGTAGGTAACGACTTTGTTATTGAATAGAGTTTCAAAAATTATCGTTATAAAAGTCGTTGGTTGAACTGTCGTTAGCTTAACGATGTCGTCCATAAACGATAAATTACTGAATAGGGCCCTTAGAGTTTTTAAAGCAATAAATAATCATAAAAAGTAATTATTAGGTAGGGTTTGCAGACACTGTCATTTTGACCCAGAGACTTTGGGTTTGGCAGTCATTCTCCGAGTCTCGGGTTTACATTAAAATTCTACCAATGGAGTGCCGTGAATCTGAAATTAAACAGCTCAAACTTTTTAAAGGACGACACAAGGGGTTTTTGGAAGAACAACAAAAAACACGTGAATAGCAAGAAAAACATTTTTGTATATTCTCCAACAAATTTATTATTTCTCTGGAGTCAACATCGCCATAATGTTGACCACTCTACTATTAGGTCAACAATAATTGAGGAATTTCAGAACTGTAAATAACTAAAGAACAAGTAAATTAAGTAAGAACTGAATCAAGAAAATGGCAAAAATATTTCATAAAAAAGATCTGTTATTTTTTATCGTTTTGCTGTAATTTTGAACTCCCTTGTCAATTTTAATGAACAGGGTTTTTATAAACTATTATGTTTAGGGTAAATTGTAAATTATATCTCAGATATAGAAGAGCCGTCACTCAATAATACAAGATTTTGAATACATCTACTGGTTAAGTTTAAATAACTAATACAGTACCTACCTCAATGATGAAATTCATGAAGTCAAAAATTTGTTCTTCATAATCCAAAACATAACTAATCAAAAAAAGGCCTAGAGCTAAGTCGATTATTTTGGCTAAAATAGTATTTCCAAGTTTTGGTGTAATTTTTTTTTCTTCCAAGACAGTGTTTAAGAACCATCGTAGAGTCTTGATGCTTTCTTCAAAATGTACAAAAGTTGAGGATATTTGTACAACTTGACTAAGTTTAAATAACAAATTTATGAAACAATTCAAAAGATAAATAACAGATAACAAATATTTTACAATAATGTTCCTCCCATTTGTTGAAATTTGGGTAGAACTCCGGAGATCTGAAGATAAATATTTGAGGTGTTTTCCATACTTTTCCGGTTCATAGTTTACAAGATCAGAATGTTTAAATCTCTCATAATCATAAATTATTTGGGTTATTGGTTTATTTTCTAAATTGTTTCTAACAACAATTTGTTCATGTAAACTATTGATATATATTGGAATATCTGTGTTTACTTTACGACAATCAAAATCAACTTTTTCTCCTATAAATCCAATACTTTGATAATTGGTTTTTGTAGGTATAACACTTGTAATATAATAAACTTCAGAATTAGGAAACACTTTTTTCTGTCCACTTAAATAACCTAATCTTTTGTAGTTTAGGTTGTCAGGTATAAAAACCAGAATAGTTTTTTCACTCACTTTCATTATTTCATCTTCATTTTCATATTTTCCAATAAACTTTATTTATTTTTCAAATGTCTGTCAATGCTCTGTCAAAAATTTAGCATAGTAGCCAATACAATTCAAAACGTATAGCCAACTGGCGAAGGCAAAATGTTCCTCTTTACTTGGCAGTTTACTGTACTCTGTACTACGTATGTGCTACGTATTTGCATATCATCCGGTAACCACCTACGTTGGAATTCCTCATAAATGAAATCATCACATATAACAACTAATTATCAAAAAATAAACACCGGAAACAACCATGGGGAATTTCTTGGTTTGATTATTTTTAGGGTTGCCAGATTTACGAAAGGGAAAAGCGGGATAACGGTGACGACAGGGATCAGGTAAAAAAAACCAAGTATTTTTACAAAATCAGGTTTTTTTTGTGAAATTTCTAAAAAGAAAAAAACAGATCCTCAGCTTATATTTTTTATAGACCGTCCTTTTTCGGACAGCTTCTAAAAACAAGGTCTTACCTCTTCAAAAAATTTTATTTATAACTTTGGATATTTAAAAAGCGTGGCATTTTAGTAAAAGTGGCATTTAGTTCAAAAACGGGACATTTTCGTACTTTGGCGTAACGGTGCCAGCACGTGAAAAAGCGGGACAATTACGCCTAAAGCTGGATATCTGGCAACCCTGGTTAATTTGTTATTTACCATAGATATGTTATTTACCCCGTCACCACAGAATACTTTATTCTGTGCCGTCACGTCTGTCATGCAGCCAATGCAGCACGTGCTATTTTAAAAGCCACGTTGCCAAATTTTCAATTTTTTGTTGTATTTTACGAATAAAATGAGCACTGAAAGTTGCTTCTGTATCTGTAAAAGATGGAAAGAATGGGTCTTGCCCCACAGTATTGCTTAGACCAGTTAGACCTCATTAGCATCCTTCAAGAGCATAAAGTACCTGCTCGCTGCTTGTAAAAAGCCTGCTGGTTGACAAGTCGCCAATCCGAAGTGTTTCTAGATGACCCCATACTTGGAAATGACCATTTGATGCTGATGGACTTCGACCATCCCGATGGCAAATGCACGGATGGAGCTAATCTATCTGCCCGCTCCGCAATTTGCTTATAACATACGACTACCCAGACAACACACCAAATTCCAGAGATATCCACAGAATATCATTTGTGGATATCCAATATATATCCACAGGATATCAGAAATATTCCGTGGATCTAATATGGATATCCAAATGTCCGTCTATATCCAGAATATAGAAGATATCCCAATGGAATGGATATTCAGCAAAATATCTAATGGGTATCTTCCAGAAAATACAAGAAATCAAAGAGATATCCACAGATATATATTTTGTGGATATTCAATATATCCAATATGGATATCCAACCAAATGTCCGTCTATATCCCAGGATATAGAAGATATTCGGATATTCAGCAAAATATTTTATGGGTATCTTTAGTAGAGGTTCATAAGTAACCAATGATTATTGAATAACGTCGAAAGAAAATAGCAGAGATAGAAAATATTTTCAACACTGCCTTTTATTTTGCCCACTAAGGAGAAAGTCATCCTTGTTAGGACTTTTCAGCAATAAATGAAAATTCTCGACTCCAGTCTCTAATGGAGTGATATCGAGCATAAGTAGATGCGATAGTGGTATCGCCATCTATACTTAGTAAGCAGAATCAAATAACATCTAGTGGATATCCACGATGGTTTGCGTTCACGCCTAGACTTTGATATAGTGGATGTTCATGGGATATTGAATACACACCTTAAACAAAATTAATTTTAAATATCTGAACGGTACTATTAGCCACAATGACGAGCACAATGGCGTAATTTTTTAATAATTTACTATATAATTACTATTATTTATGGACATTTGCATGTCTATAAATTACATTTCATGGATATAAAATAGATATCTACCATGGACTGGATATTCAGTGGATATTGGGATGTTCAGTAGATATCCAAAGGATTTGGTGTGCTGTCTGGGTATTTTGTTTCAATCCAGTATTTTAATATCATGTCATGTATAAAAAAAAAAAAATCTGATGTGTCCAACACATGACTTTCCTATCTAGTTATTATAGGCTTTTTCCGGTTATTTTGTACAACCTATACCTTGTCCACATACATCTACCTCGAAACATTTTTCTATATAGATATTCATTGAAAACAAAAATACCAAAAAAATTAAATTTAGCACTTTTCCTACAATTTTTCCATTACGGTCCATTTTAGAAAAAACATGTATAAACAAAAATTATAGAGATCTTGCACATTTTGTCAAATTTCTCGAATACGGACGCTGGAATAAAGCTTAAGTTTAAAATTTGGTGTTTTTCTGTGTATCGGTTCATGATGAGTTATGGTGGATACAGACACACACACACACACACACACACACACACACACACACACACACACACACACACACACACGCCCACACACACACGCACGCACCCACACACACACGCACGCACACACACGCGCGCGCGCTCGCACACACACACACACACACACACACACACACACACACACAGACATCATCGCGAAAATAGTCAAAACGGATTCAGGGGACCTCAAAACGTAAAAACCCGTCGAAAACTCGAGGTCGAAAAATCATGATTCCTATACTTTCCTTTTATCTGTATACAGATAGGAAAGTAATAAAAACCAGTACAAACCAGAACAGCAGACTACTAAAAAAATCCTGACAAAATCCGGACGGCTGCTCAGATGTTTAGAAAAATCACTTTTAATAAAAAAAATAAATGTATTTTTGGACTAGTTTTGGTCTATCTAGCTTTTTCATCTGTTTTATAATAAATTTTTATTAATTTAAACTTATTTAGCGTCATTACTTAAAATTTCAAATATTTACGTATTCGTTAATTTACTTCTGTCATTATTTAAACGGATTTCTTTAAGATAGTCCTCTAATGTATTTTAAAGGAATCCGTTTAAATAATGACAGAAGTAATTTAGTAAATCCGAAAATATTTTTAAAGGCCTTCAATATTTTAAAGAATAAAGGAATTGTTACAGAATAGACCCCAATGGGGACTGTATGGGGTGGGGTAATGAGGAATGACAAAACTGATTTTTGATAGTTTTGATTGGACAAAGTATGAATGGCGTTGGGTATCGTGATTTGTGTGTGAATGAGATTGTTGTTCCCTTTGCCCAGAACTTTGGCGAAGATTTTATTCTGGTAAACGATAATGCTCGTCCACACAGAGGGCTCGAATTGTCCAAGAATGTCTGAGAGAATAGTATCGAGCGAATGAGTTGGCCTACTAGGTCGCCGGATATAAATGTAATTGAACACGAGTGGAGCAGAATGAAACCAAAACTAAATCAAAGAGAGCAAGAATTACAAAATTTGGAAGATTTGACAATTGCAGTTAGAGAGGTCTGGGAAAACTATTCTTTAAGAGTTTATTACAAACTTGTTGGACAGTATACCGAGAAGAACAGCAGAACTTTTGCGAGTACGAGGTGGGCCTAGTCGATACTAAATTATTAGTTAATATTAATTGTTTCTCTCTGTTTTTTTAACATTTAAATGTAAGCTGGTTTTTGAAATATTGGCTTGTCCCGGGACTTTTGGGACACCCCATATGCTATGGACAGGTTAGGTTAGCTTTTTTAAATTTGTGTTTCGTGCCGTTCTATTGAAGTAAAATAAACTTATTTAATTTTAATGCGGACTTTGTGAAAATACCCTGTAACTTTTTTTTTCTAAACAAAAAAATACAAAACTGTCAAATACGTTTCGAGATATTCAACAAAACTTCTAAATATGATTACGATGAAAGTTCTGATAATACTCTTGCAACAGGTGCAATCAGTTAAAAATTTACATTTTTACATTGTATTATTTCACACCCTGTACAACACTGAAAAGTCACTTTTTACTGAAGATCACATTAAGCCATTGATACAAGAAATAATGAACTTTCAGAATCTTCTTCATTTTAAAAAATCGGCTAAGGCGTTTCCGAGATACAGTCTCCTACAAATGACGGTAAAATTAGCTGTACCGACTAATTCCGTGAGCAGTTTATATTTTCCGCACATATTCTTACTTGGCAAACCGGGTACTAACCTAGTTTTTCCAATATCCATACCATTGGCCTAATAAATTACGTCTATAGTAGATGATCCTCCAGAAGTGATTTTTGTAGAATCCCATATTTACTTTTAGAGTTCAATAGCTGTAATGGGGGAAGAACAAAGTAACCACAGAAATAATAAATTACGAATATATTTTTCAGACTTTTCATACAGTGGAAAATTCACATTAGCCTATATGGCTAGTTTTCCGGGTTTCTTTTCTGGATGAGAAACAGTCAAGCCCTCTTCCATTCCCTAGAGCAGCGATACTCAACCTTTTTTTCCTTCGGGCCACATTCGTATATGTGCTATGTTACACGGGCCGCAATATTTTTGGATGATGACCTTTTTTTAGGACATCTATCTAAAAAATAAATATATCCCGTTGTGTTACTGCAAAAACAAGATAACTTACATTTTTAGAGTTTCGATAAAACACTATTCAAACGTTTAAAAAAAATCAGTAAAAGCTTCAAACCGTTTATTAACTTAAATGAAAAAGGTATTGAAAACATTGTTCACAAAGTATAAACTAATAATCTATCAATAATTAGTAAAAAAAGAGGAAAAAAACGTCACTTAGCTTATTTTAGCTCTACATACAAAACATAATTCAATTTATGTATCATTATCTTCAGTCGAAGTTTAAGTAACATTATTGGATACAGGTAGATTGTGATAATAATGGTGAAATTCATCAGGTGTATCTGATTTTGCAAAATTTTAGTAAATCTTTCTTCTTGCACTTTTTGTAAGTATTTTCAAAACTTTGTTTCATCCTTTCATGCATCCCTCTGAATAAATACTGTGTGAGTTTGGCTATATTAAATATGGAATCAGATCACATGACACCCCTCCTAACCTTTAACAGACTCTTCCAGGTCAACTGTAACTGGAACGAGGTAAATAAGGAGATAGATAAATACTTGCTTAGCGGCCTCGTATGGTATACGGATGGATCTAAAACTAACAAGGAAACAGGCTCTGGCGTACATGGAGTTAAACCCAAATGCGACATCATCGTCTCACTGGGAAAACATGCCACTGTATTTCAGGCTGAAATACATGCAATCGAATTGTGTGTACGAGAGAATTTAAGAAGGAAGTACAAAAAACAAACCATCCTAATTCTCTCAGAAAGCCAGGCAGCTTTAAAGGCTCTTGATTCAAACAGAATTAAGTCAAAGCTTGTCTGGAACTGCCTTGGAATACTAAATGATCTGGCAACCCACAACAAGGTAAAACTGGCGTGGGTACCATGAAAAGGCTGATGAACTCGCCAAAGAGGGATCAGATTTACCATTCACAGGACCCGAACCTGTATTTGGGATAAGCAAAATCTCTGCTCGACAGGCAGTAAACAGGTGGATAACCATAAACACCAAATTCACTGGCAGCAGATAAGAGGGCACAGAATCAATAAGCTCATGCTAAGGGGACCAAACCCACGCATGACTACTGATGAGGCACTACAACTCGCGAGGCCTCAGATATCCAACATTGTGGGATTATTAACGGGGCACTGCTTGCTGAAACACCTTCATATATGTAATGGGATTACACAATGATCCCACTACGTGTAGACTTTGCATGGAAGAGGAAGAAACCTCATACCATGTGATCTTCGAATGCGAAGCTCGTACTGGGCGACGTTTTATCCTTTTCGGCCTAGAACCGGAAAGAATGCCCCAGGAACACTTGGTAGGGAACCTATTAAAACTAACCAAAGACACAGGACTATTCCAAAGATAGTACCTGAATACGGGGAAAGCAGGGGAATACAATAGACCCAAGAGGCCGCAGTGTTCTGGGCCAAACCTAACCCTACCTGCTTACAACCGATAAAGATAAAGATTGGCATATAAAGCCGAATTCTCCAACCTCGCCCATTGATAAATTAAATCTATTTTTTTGGTGGAATGTATTTAGGATAGCTGAATCTTTCGATACGTTATCTATTAGAGTGTATGGTTAAAATTCATATTCGCCTGTTACAACTAATACTTTTATGCACGAATTTTCACATAAAGATTCGCTCGTTACGGCTTGACGAATTTTACTCGTTACAGCTTGACCAATCACCTGTTACATCTTGACCAATCACTCTAGTGGTTGTTTAAGGTTAGCTGTATCGCCGATAGAAAGGGTGACGTAATCATCTCGAGGATTTCGGAACAATCGACCAGAGAGGGCTCTATATTCATAACAAAACAAATGGCGTGTGCACAATGTTGTAATATTTCAACACGTTCAACAAAAATAAATAGCGACAAACCACTCCCGAAATACTGGTACGTTTTCCTTGGAAATCATCGAAATCATTGCACATTTTCTCGAAATTTCCAAAATCATCATCTAAAATCATGGTCGAAATGAATTCGTCGCTCACAACCCGAAATGGCCAGAAAAAAAGATCATCGTATAAAATTAAGTTCGATTTTCAGTAAAATCACCTAAATTGCATAACAATTTTTTAAGTGATTTCCGAAATACAGGTACGTTTTGACCTGCTTATTGGTTTCCCCTCGGTTCTGGCCGGACACAGGAACACTATTAAGAATCGGACTAAATATATTTAGCAAAAATAAGTTATATGCCTATTATCTGGTTTTGGTGTATCAATTGAACGCAAATGTTATGATTATGTTTTGGTATAAATGCCACTCCATCTTATTTGTCCATATTGTTAATGTATTAAAATGGAGTTATTTTTTATTGGCTGTTTATCATGAATATAGACTTCTTTCACACTTGTAGAAAGTGTACCTACTTAACTCGAAAATTCCAAAAGAGGAGCTATCTTGTTTTTGCAGTAACTCCACAAAATTCCAAACGTTTACTTAAAAATCTGATGTGTCCAACACATGACTTTCCTATCTAGGTATTACAGGCCTTTTCCGGTTATTTTGTACAACCTATTGCAGCATCTCTATAAATGTTTAGAGGATAAACTAAATATATACATTGTCCACATACATCTACCGCGAAACATTTTTCTATAGATATTCATTGAAAATGAAAATACTGAAAAATTTAAATTTAGCACTTTTCCTACAATTTTTCCATTACGGTCCATTTTAAAAAAATCATGTATAAACAAATATTATAGAGATTGATATCGCAAACAACTTTTATTTCAACAATTTTCATAAAAATCAGAATTTTGCACATTTTGTCAAATTTTTCGAATACGGACCATTTCAGGAAATTTTTACATAAAGCAAAAATTATAGATAATAATATTAGAAGTAACTTTTATTTGAACAATTTTTTTCTTCAAACATAAATAACAGATATATTCCATAAAATATAAAAACGGCCTCCCATAAAGTACCCCCCCAGATGTTCCGACTTTGTCCAAAATCTAATCATTTCACGTCAGGCCGAAATAAAACTTAAGTTTAAAATTTAATGTTTTTTTCTTTACCCATTTTTGAGTTTTCTTCAAATTTCGAAATTTACACATTTTCTCAAATATCTCGAATACGGTCCATTTTAGAGAAATTATCTATAGGATAAAAATTATAGAGAATTATATTACAAACAACTTTTGTTTGAACAATTTTTATAAAAAAAATATTTTTTTACATTTTGTCAAATTTCGCGAATACGGACCATTTTAGGAAAATTTTGTATATAACAAAAATTATAGATAATAAAATAAGAAGTAACTTTTATTTAAAGAATTTTCTTCCCCAAACGTAAATAACAGATATATTCCATAAAATATAAAAATGACCACCCATAAAGTACCCCCCCAGATGTTCCGACTCTGCCCAAAATCTAATCAGCTCATTAGACGTTGGAACAAAGCTTAAGTTTGAAATTTGGTGTTTTTCCGTGTATCGGTTCATGAGTTATGCGTTATACAGACACACACACACACACACACACACACACACACACACACACACACACACACAGACACACACACAGACACACACACACACACACACACACACACACACACACAGACATCATCGCGAAAATAGTCAAAACGGATTCAGGGGACCTCAAAACGTAAAAATCCGTCGAAAACTCGAGGTCGAAAAAAATCATGATTCCTATACTTTCCTTATATCTGTATACAGATAGGAAAGTAAAAATTACTATGCTATTTAGCGCTGCGACCAATAATGGTGTTGCGGGCCACAATATAATATTGTGTTGCAGGCCACAAAAAAAGCTTGGAGGGCCGCATATGTGGCCCGCGGGCCGCAGGTTAATTGAGTATGGCTGCCCTAGAGGAACCTGCCGCGGCCACTCAGGGGGAATATATATTACTGACGGGGCCGGGGTAAAAAAAACGCAGGACATAAAAACATGTAGGCTCGAGGGACATATATAACACGTTTCTTTACAATTTACCGATTTCTAGCTAAGAAATGAGAAAGATTTTTGACTTTTGAATTTACATTTTCTAGTATGAAACGAAATACTTTTAATTATAATTACATACTAGTTAATTATGAATGCATCTGGGAAATTAAATATTTATAATTTTCTTCCAACAAATAAGTAAATATGACAACAGCGCATTGACAATGAATCATTTCTTGCAACAAAAGTTAACCTTCAAAAAATATATTTGTGTCAAACAACTTGTTTATGATAATAAAAGATAATTTTGAGAATTATGAGTTTAGAATTTCATATTTAACGAATATTAAATAATTTTGCAAGATGATGGAGGCAGACGCCTCTTCGGTTAAAAGAGATGAACCACCTGCTAAAGTGACTAAATTTAGGGTAAGTACCCATAGCTTATTAATGGGATATTGTTTAATAAAATCTTTTATTACAGAATGTCATGTCTATTAATAATTCCGATAGTGAAGAAGATATTCATGCAATAATTGTTAATAATTCTGAGGATAGTAATTTGCTGTCCTCTGTTCGAAGAAGGGTTCAGATCAGTTCAGAAAAAGTGAGGACTGGGTCACTCAATGTGTTATCTGCCAAATATGAAGTAAGTAGTTAATTAATAATAAAAAAACGTTTTAATTATAAAAATTACCTAATATAAATATAAATGTAGTTTAGCCTTTAGACATATAAACTGACATTCACAGTATTCACACTGTCTGAACAATGAAATGTATTGTCTGCATCATAAACCACTTAAACCAGATAAGGGAAGGGGCAGAGTACTAGTGTTGTAAATATCTGTTTCTTTTTAGTATTTGGATATACGTATTCGGAACCAAGAGATATTCTGATATGTATCCATATTCCATGTGTTAAATCATAATAATACGCAACTGTAAATACACCACGACATGGGAATCGAAACCAGGCAGTGTTGCCAACCCTATCAGAATGTATGTTTGAGTGTGAAGTATTTAGCACTTTAGCAGAAGCTGTTAATATTTTAGAATAATTAACACAAGATAAATCTCAAATATTTTGTTTTTTATCATATTTATACAACTTTAGGTTACCATTAAAATATGCTTAGTGCATGCCGATTAACTGACTATGAATTGCAACAATGCTAGTTAGTTACGGCGATTTCGCATCAGTTGCCACTGCCATGCACAATCGGCTTTGTTATGAACACAGAACATAAAACATTCAATTCATGTATTGTTTTGGATTTTGTTTCTGTCCTTTTTGATTCCAAATCCGTATTCGAATTTACACATTGATTCTGGAATATATGGATCATTTTAATATTCTGATTCAACGGATTTTTGGATACATATTCTTACATCACTACAGGGTACAACAATGATGTTCTGTTTCAGGGAAGATTCATTTATATTTTATAAAAATTAATATTCAAATCTTGATAACCTTTACACCTACACCTTCAATAGGTCTTCTTAGTCAAAGGTGAATTTAAAGAAACAATTCCTATTGATTTCTTACTATTTTAAAGTACTGAGTTACGCTTTTGTAATTCTAGTCTCACTGGTAAAAAATACATTTATTTTATTTATTTATCTTTTAACATACATTACATGAAGTAGGTACATTTCCTAAGTATATTCCAAACTATGCCACATTTTTAGACTCTTTTTAGGCTCTTAAAATATAAAAGTAAAAAAAATATTAATTTTTAAAAAATATTCAAAGTATACTTTAAAATGAAATATAATTTAAGTTCACACTTGACGATGTCTACAAAATGTCTTAGGTGGTCAAGATTAAAACTTATGAACCAGAATGTTCAATGTAAAAATCGCTAAATAAAAATCTTTAGTGATTGTAGGTAATAAATAAAAACTCATATTGAGCTTTCAATTCTTTTTTTTTTCTTTTTCTTCTTTTCTTCTTTTTTTTTTCTTTTATTTATTGTCTCGTGAGGATTATGTTGCAGACAAATTTAATGTTAACAAATCAGATATCTTTGATCTAGTCCTTTGTCTGTCTAGCCTAATGTCAATTCAACTCATCAATTCAACAAATCCTAAAACTAACAACCTATGCTGACACCTGTGCAGACCTACAAATCAAGATAATTAATTTCAAATTTATATCTGCTCTGATACCAAATAAATATTTTAAATGTTTTAAATGAACTCCCACCGACGTATATGATTTTAAGTGTATATTTAATTAATCATATATTTTAGCAATATTATTACAGCTAAATGACCTTTGAAACATAGCAGTCATATGTCACAGAAAGTAATTGTAATAACTATCTAAAAATTGTTTGTATGTAATAGATACATATCTGATAAGTATCAAATATTGTGAAAATAAATTTAGTTAGATACATTCAAGGACGAAAAACTACTCATCCATTCATTCATAATTAAGCCCTTATTTTTTTGCAATCATTAAGAATGTGTTTTATATTAGACATACAGCTGTCACATCGGCTGCTAAATTGAGTGGGGACGGTTTGTGCGGGCTTATTTATCTGAGGTATTAGCAAGCGTTTTATGAATGAATCACGTTGTACTACTATGATTTCTGCTCTACATTGTTGCCACACTGTAAATAGATGGTGTACCTTCCTTTAAATCACATTCACCTACGATAATAGTTTCAACCAGAAAATGACAATAAACAGATAATAACTGACACTAAGACATATCTGCTGCAACTTTAGATTTTTGGGACATCATAACACACAATACAAACATGTAAAATATTTTGTAGATAGCGAAAAACCTAAACAGTCTACCAATTAACATTTTGTAGTCATCCATAGTCACCCTAGTATAATGGTATTAAAAATAAATAAAATTGAATATGTACACATGTAAATCACATCTAAAATCTTTAAACATTTTTTAAAAACTATTTGTATGTAAGTAAGTAGGTACTTACCATATTATTTTGTAAACGAGAATGAATAATATACTCAGTTTTCAATAGATTGTAATATCAAATGTGTTCAAAATAATTAGAAGTGTGATAGATCCTTTATTTTTATAGAGTTTGGATTATGACACATGTGAAAATCATCTCCTCTTAGATGAAGAAAGGAAAAAAGGTTACAAATTTATAGTTCGAAAATCCATATCAAGATGGTTTATATTTTTACTAATTGGAATGTTCACAGCTTTAATAGCATGTATTATAGATATATCCATAGAAGAACTGTCAACTATTAAGTATGCATCATTAAGTAAAAGTATCCTTTTTTAAAACAAGAAATAAAAAAAATAAATAAATAATAAAAAAATGAATAAAATATTTCATATAGAATAATAACTATAGCTATAAGTTCCTTATAAATTTAGATGTGGATAAATATGTAACCCAAGGAAAACTATACATACCATATGGATTATGGGTTCTTTATAATGTTGTCCCTGTTTTGATTGGTTCACTATTGGTAGCTTATGGAGAACCAATAGCTGCAGGTAGTGGTATACCTCAAGTAAAATGTTACCTTAATGGAGTCAAGATACCTAGAGTGGTTAGAATCAAAACTTTGGTTGTCAAGAGCATTGGAGTAATATGTTCTGTTGTTGGCGGTTTAGCTGGAGGAAAAGTATGTATAATTTTTTTAATAATAAGAATAAGTAGGCATGTTAAAGAAATACTTGGAAACCTCTAATATATAGTGTGTTTTCAAATTCGCACCGCCAATAAATGATAAACTTATACTACAATTTCCAAATAATATACAGTGGGAAAATTTCAGGACAACAGAGTTGCCATATATCAAAAGAAGAATTTTTTTCATTATAAAAATTATGTAAAAAAATGTTTAAAATACATAAGTTACCTAAGAGCAAGGATTTTCTAATTTAAAATTGTATTTATAAGCGCGCCACGGCAAAAACTTCGCGATATTATGTTTCTCGAGAATATAGAGAGCTTTAAAGTTGTGCAACGATATGGCACCACTCTACGGATATGTTTAGGAAAACAGGTGGGAATTCATCCTATTTAAAAACTACTAGATATTTATTAAAACAAAAAGCATTTGTTCTCAGAATGGCGCGTAAATGTTTTTATAATCCCCTTTAAACATTTTCAAAATAAATACTTTTCTAAGGTTTACAAAAATTCAAGGTTTCTCCACCCTAAGTTTTGTTGTTGGCATTTCCTGAAAATTTCACAAAAATCGGACTAAAAATAAAGGCTCAAAATGAATTATAAAGTTTCAAGGTTTTCGGTTTGCTCTCAACACTAATGTATCATGCTTAAGATTATTTCATTATTTGTCTGGAGAGTAAATTACAATACTTAAATGTTTAGGTACCTTATTTGAATCTATGAACATAAAAATCTTAATAATATATACGTAATTTGCTTCACATTGGCAACATAGTTATGTCACCTGCTAGTGGTTGATCGGATTCTTACACGTTGCCATGATGCAATGAAATGGACAGGTTTGAGTCACACTCCATACACAAAATGCAACGTCGATAATATTTAATTTTTAGAGGCTATAATAAGCACATGTAAATTCAGTTAGTTAATTGTTTGGTTTGTGATCAGTACCGTTGGCGAAATATTCTTATATAAGTTAATTCTCAGTAAATTATTTTATTTTTTGTTGTTCTTTTGAAATCGTTTAAACGTCATTAAAAATTAATCAGAAGTTACCCCAGCTTTAGCAATCCTTCTGCGAAACGTCATAATTTTTTGGAAGCAGAATTTAATAAAAAGACGTATACGATGATTATACAGTTGATAAGGCAGAAAAATTTTGCGGGAAATTAACAAAAGTTTTAGACTGTACAGAGCATTAAAAAAACGAGTGTAGAAAATGAAAAAGCAGAATCGAATATAAATAAAGAAAAACAGTTAAACAAATGGGCGGATGTAATGCGGCCGGAATCAGGACAGGTACTTAAACGGGGTAAATTCCGACAAGGTTTAAGGGTTCGTTCTTATCGTATAAGTATTTTCGGCCAAAAGGAGCAGGTAAAGTAAAATATATTGTTCTGTAAGTGCTGCAACTTTCTATATTAAACCAAAATCAAAGAAAAAAGCAGATCATATGAATATTAAATTTTATTAAGTGTCACTACAATAAATGATTAACAGGAGGACACAACAGAAAATAACTTAATATTAACTTACTAATGCACCATACATTCTCCTCACACAAACACCAACACACTCATAAAAATCATGATTCCTATACTTTCCTTATATCTGTATACGGATAGGAAAGTAAAAACCACTCCTAATGTATTCCTGTAATTCTAAAACTGAATAAAATACAATTCTTTGAAAGAAGTTTATCAAATTATTTTTGTAATTTAGATGACTTAAGATGTTTATGTATTCAGGTAATATAATAAATTAAAGTTTATTGAATTATGTTCTGGTTTTGATAATCTGTTTCTTGCAACTCTAATATAAGTACTAATTCGTGTATTATATGATTGGTCATCACCTTGCATTGGTAGTAGACATAAATGTTTATGTATTTCAATTGATGGTGGGTGAGGTTTTCCGGGTTTTCCTCACCTGTAAGTAATAATAATAAATAATAATAGCCGTCCCTTTCCCCGCACAAGCTCAGCTTTTGGGGTTAAAATTCACTCGTAAGGGGGTGAATTAGGGATAGTATTATTATTATTATTATATAATTAAATTTGCAAATATAAATAATGAATAGGATTGAATAATGGTCTACAGGACTCTCTGATAATAGCCTTATTGCTTTTTTGCTGACGGGAAATTATAATGGAATCAGTTGCATTACCCCACAGTAATATACCATAACTAATATGTGAATGAATTAGTGAAAAACATACGGTTCTTAGAACATCATAACTGGTAACATACTTAAGCTGACTTAAGAGAAACAAAGTACAAGATAATTTACTTGCAACATAATAGGCGTTTTTGGAAACCTACTATTGATCACAAATCCGAATTACTGAGTTTACTCGACGGATCACGTGGATCACTAAACTTAGTGCCAACGAGTTGGATTATTGTTCCTGTTTATCAACGTTTGTCAATTTTTGACTTTACCCACATGATATTTAATATTTAAAACCCTTATTTAAAAGACCCATTTTATTTTAAATAACCTATTCCCTATAGCAAGTATGATTATAGAATAATATTCTAGTGATGAAGAAGTTTTTATCCTCTTGCATAATTATGGATTAATTCGTCAAAATTTCTGTCTGAACATTGTAGAGCAACGGCATCGGCAAAAAGCACACAGTTATGTGGATTCATGTACTGTACAAAATAATTTTTATATATATTACAAATAAAAGTGGTCCCAAAACCGATCCCTGTGGAACTCATATATTAATTGACTCTGGATTTGAGAGGTTGCCTTTATAAAAAACTGACCGACTACGAACTTTTAAAAAGGACTTTAATAAATCCATTACATTACCTCTAACTCCATAATAATACAACTTTTTAAATACGAGGGCTATGGGAGACAGTCGAAAGTCTTGTTAGGTCACATAGAGTAATATCAACGTATTTTCCTTTTTCAATGACCTCGACTACGTCTACCGCCACATGCAAAACTCCACCACTATGAATAAAATCATTTCCAAATTAAAAAAGGATACGGATTTGCCAAAAATATCGCGTAGTCTTAAGACGTACACTACGTCAAATGAATTTTCATTATTTCAAGAAAAACGTGATAATTCACTATTGGAAAAAGAGGAAATCCTTGTTTGGCGTATAAAAAGTTTTACCCCACCAGAAGTACGATAGGCTGCTGACGCAGCAGCCCAGGGCTTAGTGCCAGAGAAAAGTAAGCATCGGTACCTAAAAGCCATTGAATTATATAGGAAGTGGTGCGAAGAAAAAAAGGTCAAAAATATCGGTTCCGAAAGTGTACTCCTGGCATATTTTGGAAAACATACCAGACAAAAGAAGCCATCTACTTTGTGGGCAATGTACAGTATGATATGAACGATGCTAGAAATTGAAGAAAAAAGTGATATTTTTAAATATAAAAAAATATTTATCTAGAATAGATGAAATGAGGGCAGGAAGTGAGGGCGGGAATTAGAGGTGTGTAATGTGATACTTCCCAATCTTCAATGACGTTAGTAATGACAGCATTACATATATGGTTGTAAATAAAATTTATTAGTTGGTTGGTTCGACAGTACCAACCCTTAAAAAATGGTAACACGCCACGTTAATAAATTGGATGTGGTGTGGCGAAGTATATTTTAATTAATTTCCGCCTGGGAACGTTTCGTATTTTGTTTCCTAGAAATTCTCGTTTTTGAACATTTGCGAGAACACTCGCAGTTTAAAATATTTCCATATTTACCGAAATTCAAATTCCAATTTAAACATTCAATTTCATGTAAATTATCTAGATATATTCGGTAGGTGTTAAAATTTTTTTTATTTTTTTTTTATTTCTCCGCTAGTAAATATTGGTACTGGAGGTGGTTTCCTCCCACTCCGGAATTGCTCGTGAGACATAAATGGCAGAGCGCAAGGAAAATTGCTCTTGGCTCCTGTCTACCGTCGGCTCTTTGTTTCCTGTCGCCAATCCGCAATTTACCTAGTACCTATTGCCCACGAGTGTATTAAAAATTGCGAAATCTTGTCGAATCTCCCAAAATCGAGCTAACTGTGGATCTCCCAGATAGACTTTGAAGAAGAAAATTCGTCAAAGTGAAAGTCAACTGGCATGCGACATCAGAATTCTTCTATCTCGATCAGGCCGTTCCTAGCAAGCACCAGTCGAGTAATTATTTGTGGCCAGCTGTCCGAAATTTAGAAACGTTATTTTACGGGGTTAAACCGATAAAGACTCAAATCCGGCGTCTGTTTTTTTGAACGACGTACTGAGACAGTTTTCTATGTTCAAACAAGGAATACCGTAATAATCGTTTGATTTATTTCTTTCGATTTAATAAAATAATTCTTGAGGGATATTTTTTTTTTATTATACAAAGGTGATTACCGTTTTAATTATTTCATTTACATTATTTTCTTTTTATTGTTTCACTGTTTTATTTTAATAATTTATTTTATAGGAAAATTATTTTCTAATCTACCGGGGGTGCCGATAGTGCCGATAGTGCCGTCTTAGTTATTTCATATTTTCTTTTATTGTTTAACTTTAGTTTTTTTTAACCATTTATTTGATTTAATAAAACATTTCCTAATTGGAAATTCATTTTCTATCATACCAGGAGTACCGGAGGTACCGACCACTGTACCCCGAGTTTTTAGAGTGTTTTTAATTTTATTTTTGTAAATACATTTTGTTAATAATTCCTGTTTCTTTTTTTTATTACCGGATCTCAACAGTTTTATTTCAGAGTACCGTAGGGTACGAGGTGTGAAGTAGAATAGTTTCTTTTAATATAATTTGGTGGCTACCCCAATAGCGGTGACCGCCTGGAGTTTTTTTTAACACCTTGAGTACACTCTGGTGTACTGCAAGGTCGTAGAGCAAACTGTGTTAACAAAACTAGCACCTGAGCAACCCTCATTCTGATTTCGCCACCTCAGCGCCAAACAGACTTCCTACTTCACAGCAGGTGAAGCCAGAAGCCTGTCACAGCGGTGTGAAAA